TTTTGCCGGAGATTTAGCTCAGCGGTTTCGCCGCCTGCCTCGCAAGCACAAGAACCCGAGTTCGATCCCCGGTACCAAAAAAACCCAACAAAGAACATTTAATTGAACAAATATTTATTAAGCACCTGTTTTGTGCCAGGCCCCCTCGCTGCGCACTGCAGCACTAGCATCTGCTCAGAAATTTAATCCAAGGTAAGGAACACTGCCACAATGGGCAAATGTGGTCCAAAGACTGTGAGGGCTGTGGGTGCCTCCCTCGCCCGAAGAGGCGCCACAGGAAACATGTTTCCTTTCTTCCGGTAAGTCTCCACTACGCGGCTGCTTTGCAGCATCTCGGTGTTTACCGAGAGAAGTTGTTCCTTCACGCACTACAGCCTGGTCGATACTAATATACTCTGAGTCCTATTCAATAAAAGGAGAGGGAAAAAAAAAAACCACTGGGCATGTGGCTATGCCCTTAATCTCAGCACTCAGGAGGCTGAAGCAGGAGGATCGCTGCGAGTTTGAGGCCAGCCTGGGCTAGTGAGTTCAAGATTAGCCTGAACTACCAAGAGAGACCCTGTCTCAAAAGCTAAAACAAAACAGAAGCCAAATGGCAACCCTTAAGAATGATGCAAACCTCCCCACTCGGCTTGCATAGACCTTTAAGGTCCATCTGCCTAGATCTGGATTCCTGAGTCAGAACCTTCTAGTTGTGCACAGCCGCCCAAGACAGAGAAGCAAGAGATTTCGGTCCCGTCGCGCGTCCTCAGACCGCTCCCGGGCGGGTCCCGCGCGCTCAAAGAGATCGCCCGCGGAGGATCCGAGGACCTGTTTGCTGCCGGCAGCGTCAAGGAGATGGGAGCTGCGCCCGGGTTTGAAGTTCCCGCGGGCCAGGGAGGCCAGGCGGGGACATGGCAGCGTTTTAATTTGCATCGCTTTTTACATCCAGTTGGGAACATTTCATGTTTAAGAAACAAATATGTATTTTTTTTCATGTTTTTGCCCACTTTTTACTGGGTTGATTTTTCTTACAGATTTGTATGGATTCTTTAGGTGAGAATTCATCCTTTATCAGTGGTAAGTGTAGATATTTCAACTTAGTTTGGTTTTTAACTTTGTTTATAGGTGTTTTACCTTCAAAAAAATGTTTTGTTTTTACATGGTTGTCAATCTTTCCTTTATGGCCCTGGGTTTTGATTTTATTTACAAAGCTCTTCCCTATTCTGATTACAAAGTAAAATTTCCATGTTATCTAATATTACTGATAATTATGGTTTCATTTTTTAGCACTTGAATCTTTGAACATCTGGAATTTACGTGAGGAGTAAAAGAGGAATTTAAAAAATATTCCAGATGGCTTACCAGATAACCCCATACCATTTAAAGAAGATTCCATATTTTCAGCACTGCTTGTTAAAGCCCAAGATTCACTTTCTAAAGTACTGCATAATTTAAAGGTTATTTCTGGATGTTTCCTTCCATTTATCTGTCTGTGCAATCCCTGTGATTTTAATTACTGTAGCTATATTATGTCTAATAGGGATAATCCTCACTCCTTATCCTTTTTGGTTAAAATGTCCAGTATCCTTGGATGGTAACTTTTCCACATTAATTTTACAATCAGCATGTCAGGTTTTTTTCTGGGGGGGAAATCATTTTATTGGGGGGCTTAGAGGTGGGGAGAAGGTGCTGAAAATACACTTAAGACAATGAGATCCAGTGTCCTTGGCAGGGTTGGATCTCTCCCGTTCCACTGTCGCCAAAAAAAAGCATGTCAGTTGTGGAAAAAAAAATTGTATTGATTTCCTAGTTAGCATCTAATTACATGTATAGATTTAAGAAAGAACTAACATTTTTTTGGGTTTCAAGTCTT